GAAGGAAAACTAATATCCTAAGTAGATTTAGAATGTTAGTGAATAGTGGCTGCTGAAAGCCCTGTCAGTTCAGCTCAGCAAATATTAAGTATCTACTATATGCTAGACGTTGGAATTAAAAAGATAAGTTATGGCACAAGGAGCTTACATTTTACTTCAGGGGAGGAAGAGAGAATAAGGGATATTAGGACTTGTACACAGGTAACTAAGTCGAGGTTAGGCATAGGAGATGGAGATGAAAAAGATACATAGTGTTCTAGGTGGGAAAGAACATTTCTCCACATTCTCTTGTTTAAAAGAGAGGATAGTTTTAAAGTCCAACACTATTATTTGACAACCATTATTTCAAGGTATATAAAGTTCTTTTTGAGCATTCTGTCGAATCTTTCCAGTGACATCAGCTAGGTAGGTATAATTTTATTTAAGGGACAGTTAAAGAATAAAATTTAATAAAAAAAAAAACCTTCCCCTTTTCTGTTATTACCACTGTCAACTGTTCTAATCTTGTGTCACTGTGTATACGATACAACCTTATTTCACATATCTCTAATGTGAATTAAGTTCAAGATAGAGAATGTGTGTCTAGGCAGTCTGAAAAAAATTCTAGAATTTTAGTGGACTATATGCTTTAAGCTGAGCCAGTAGTGAGATATGGCAGCCAAAAAAACCTAATGTCATCTTTGTCCTGCACTAGGGTAATGATAGTATACTGCTGTCCTGAGATTTGCTATAGTTGACCACAGTTCAAATACTGTGTTCAATTCTAAATATCATGTTTTGGGAAAGACTTTAATAAACTTGGAGAGTGTCCAGAGGAGAATGACTAGGATGTTGAAAAGCCTTGAGATCATATGAGAGTTAGTTGAAGAATCTAAGGATATTTAGGCTAGAGAAGAGAAGATTTTGGGGTAGGAGGGACATGATAACTGTGGTCAGGTATCTGAAGGGGATGTCATGTATAGGACAAATTAAACTTGTTCCATTTGATCCTAGAGGAAAGAAATAGGAGTGTTGGTTAAAAGTTGCAGAGAAGATTTAAGCTTGATAAGAAAGAAAATTTACTAACAGACCTCTCCCTACCTTATTCTCCCCACACCCCCCCACGCCCCGAAGGAAAAAAAAAAGTGAAATAGGCTGCCTTAGCATTTAGAGAGTTCCTGCTCTTATAGCCTTTGAGTAATGACTGCTCACGGAGTTAGTCATAGGAGAAATTACTTTTTAGATATGGTTGGATTGGAGGACTTCTGAATTCCTTTTTAACTTGGAGATTCTGTCACTATTAATCATTCATTACATTTTGTCATCTCTTTGCTGTTCCCTGCACATTGTGGTCACTCACATTTCCCTGCCTTTGCTCATTTTACTCTGTACCTGGAATTCCCTGTCCTTTTCTTCACTACTGATTGGAATCCTGTCCCACCTTTTGTAAAGCTTTACCTGTTTACACCTGTCTTTAAAATCTTTATAATTTATAGTAAGCAATACACAATTTAGCACATAATTGTTCATTAAATAATGTGTTTTAGTGTTAATTCTCCAAACTTTTGCTCTGCTATTCAGAATTCCCCATAATGTGTAGCACAGTGCTAGGTATTTGACAGAAACTCAGCACTTAACTGATTTAGTTGATTAAAAAAAAATTCAAATGAGTTGGTCTAAACCCATTATTTAAATGGTATGGGGAACTCCTGGCAAGAAATTATCTCCAGGAGCTCTTGGGGTGAGTGAAAGCAGTGACTTGCTTGAGCTCTCCCCCAAACCTTTCCAAATACCTGTAAAAAAAATGACTCTAAACAAATTCTAGAGCAGCAGAACCCACAAAAAGACAGAGTGAAACAAATTTCCAGCCCAAGATGACCTGTTCGGCTGATCAGAAAGGTATGTCTTGCCAGGCAGGGAGAGGAGTGCAGTTTGGCGTGGGCACACAGGCCTCAGAGGACTGAATCACAGGCAGCTGTGGCAGTTTCCAGACCTTCAACCCTCTAATGCCAAAGACAACTTAGACGGTCAGTGGGAAAAACTTGTTTCTGTGGTGAAAGAGAGAAGCTAGGTCCCAGCCCCAGTTCCTAAGTGTGGCCCCAGGGCGGCGGCTGCTGCTTCCTGAGCTTCCGGCCCACCCACAGACTGAGGGGGAATCAAGTGGCATCATGATCAGAGGGGGATTGCAGGGATCTCTTTGCCAGTGCTGAGGCAGGAATCTCCTGCTTTGCCTCTGCTTGGATTTGGGCTACAATTCTGGGTAGCGGTCCTGGGGCGAATTGGAGAACTGGTATGGTGGAACTTGTAGTGGTGGTACAGAGAAAATCCTCCTCACAGTTCCAAGACAGAAAACATTGCTTGTGGTCACTCATAGACCAGAGCACATGCCAGGAAAGGAGTAAACACCTCTTCCCTTATCATACCACCTTGGAAGAACTGAAAATTTACAAGTCCCTGGAAGTATCTCTGAAAACAGTTGTTCAAACCCCTGAAGCTTAGGAAAGTACATTCTCCACATTGGAGGCAGACCCCTACCTTAACAAGAGTTTAAAACTCAAATAATTGGCTTGGATCATGAGCAAACTGCGCAAAAAAGAGTCAGACCATAGAATCTTTTTTTGGTAACAAAGAAGATCAAAACATACAACCAGAAGAAGACAACAAAGTCAAAGCTCCTACATCAAAGCCTCCAAGAAAAATATGAATCAGTCCAGGCCTTGGAAGAGCTCAAAAGGATTTTGAGAAGCAAGTAAGAGAAGTAGAGGAAAAACTGGGAAGAGAAATGAGAGTGATGCAAGAAAATCATGAAAAACAAGTCAACAGCTTGCTAAAGGAGACCCAAAAAATACTGAAGAAAATAACACCTTAAAAAATAGCCTAACCCAAATGGCAAAAGAGGTCCAAAAAGCCAATGAGGAGAAAAATGCCCTAAAAAGCAAAATTGGCCAAATGGAAAAGGAAGTCCAAAAGATTACTGAAGAAAATACTTCCTTAAAAATTAGAATAGAGCAATTGGAAGCTAGTGACTTTATGAGAAATCAAGACACTGTAAAACAAATCCAAAAGAATGAAAAATTAGAAAACAATGTGAAATATCTCATTGGAAAAACAACTGACCTGGAAAATAGATCCAGGAGAGAGAATTTAAAAATTATTGGACTATCTGAAAGCCATGATCAAAAAAGAGCCTAGACATCATCTTTCAAGAAATTATCAAGGAAAACTGCCCTGATATTTTAGAACCAGAGGGCAAAATAGAAATTGAAAGAATCTACCGATCTCCTGAAAGAGATCCCCAAAGGAAAACTCCTAGGAATATTGTAGCCAAATTCCAGAGTTCCCAGGTCAAGGAGAAAATATTGCAAGCAGCCAGAAAGAAACAATTCAAGTATTGTGGAGACACAATCAGGATAACACAAGATTTAGCAGTTTCTACATAAAGGACCAGGGCATGGAATATAATATTCTGGAGGGCAAAGGAGATAGGATTACAACCCAGAATCACCTACCCAGCAAAACTGAGTATAATCCTTCAGGGTAAAAAATGGTCATTCAGTGAAATAGAGGACTTTCAGACATTCCTGAGGAAAAGACCAGAGCTGAATAGAAAATTTGACTTTCAAATACAGACTCAAGTGGAACATGAAGAGGTAAACAGGAAAGAGAAATCATAAGAAACTTATTAAGGTTGAACTGTTTACATTCCTACATGGAAGGGATGAGATTTGTAACTCAGACCTTTGTTAGTATTAGGGTAGTTGGAGGGAAAAAATTATATGTATATATATATATGTGTGTATATATCTATATATCTATAGATGTAGATAGATAGAGGGCACAGGGTGAGTTGAAGATGAAGGGGTGATATCTGGAGAATAAAATTAAGGGGTGAGAGAAGATTATACTGGGAGAAGAAGAAAGAGGTAAAACGTGGTAAATTATCTCAAAAAAAAAAAGAAAAGGCTCTTACAGTGGAGGGAACAGGGGAAGGTGAAGGGAATGAGTGAATCTTATTCTCATAGAATTTGGCTTAAGGAGGGAATAATATACACACTCCATTGGGTGTGGAAATGTGTGGAAATCTATCTTACCCTACAGGAAAATGGGGTGGAGGGGGACAAGAGAGCAGGGGGATGATAGAGGGAGGGCAGATTGGGAAGGGGAATCAGAAGCAAACTTCTGAGGGGACAGGGTCAAAAGAAAGAATAGAATAACTTGGGGGGCAGGATATAGGATTAAGGGAAATGTAGTTAGTTTTTTACAACATGACTACTGTGGAAGTGTTTTGCATAACTGCACATGTATAACCTGTATTGAGTTGCTTGCCTTTTCAGTGAGGGTGGGTAGGGAGGGAGGAAGGGAGAAAATTGGGAAGCCAAAGTTTTGAAAACATGTGTTTAAAAAAAATGTTTTCACATGCAACTGGGAAATAAGAAATACAGGAAATGGGGTACAGAAATCTATCCTGCCCTACAGGAAAATAGAAGGGGAAGGGTATAAGAAAAGGGGGGGAGAGATAGAAGGGAGGGCAGACTAGGGGAAGGGGTGTTCAGAATGCGTGCCATCTTGGGGTGGGGGGAGGGGTGAGATGGGATAAAAATTTGGAACTCAAAATCTTGTGGAAGTGAATGTTGAAAACTAAATAAATAAATTAAAAAAGGAAAATTACTTGTACTAATTCATATGGACAGTAGTTCTATAAACTTAATTATGTTAGCTTTTTCAAGCTTTTGTGTAAGCCTTCTCAAGAATCAAGTCTCACTTAAGTCTTCTTTTCAGGTTAAACATCTCAAATTTCTTCAGCCGATTTTCTCATGAAACTTCTACTCTTGTATCTTTCTCCCCATGTCCATTCCATTCAGTGATTCCATTCAGGTGCTGGTGACTGTACTTCTCAATGTGATTGCAAATACTGCTTTTTGAAAGGATTGTAGGTAACTAATTTGCATCTGTCTTTTTGTTTAGGGTAAGGGTTCTGTTAATCCACACTCTTACATTAATTTATGTTTTTGCTATTTCAGAAAAAAGCCAAAGGACAGGCGCTCTTTGACCAGATCATGTACCATCTGGACCTGATAGAAAGTGACTATTTTGGACTGCGATTTATGGATTCGGCACAAGTGGCAGTGAGTAAAAATCTCTGGAATTCCACATATAGAAGAACCTGAGTTTTCATGTGAAAGTCAATTTAGGCAATGTTGTCTTCTTGTCTTATCTTCTTAAAGTAGCTGTGGTGTAGTGGGTAAAAAAGCTGATCTTAGAGTCAGGAAGACTGTGTGACCTTGGCTAGGTCACATGACATTTTAGAGACTGAGGCAATCAGATTCTCAGTTATAGAGCAAATACTGATTGCACTAGTAGAGGAAGTGCCTTCACTAGGAATTCCATATGCCAATGAAAGGTAGAGTTACTGCCCCACACCATTCTTCCTTTTCTTCCTCCCCCATCTTTTTTTAAACTAGTTTCCCTGTTTTCTTCTACCCTTATTACTTTTTCTACCCAAGATTTTTTTTTCCTATATAATTGAAAAAAATAGCCATCTTTTTGAAATCCACTACAGCCTTGGTGCTTTGGAGCCTATTTTCACCCATTTTATGTCATTGATTGAACAATATAGCACATTTCTTTTAAAAAAAAATCTTTATTTTTATTCTGAATTTAATCACTAAATTAAATGGCCATTTCTTTAGAGAGTAGAACAGAAAAAGAAAAAAAAGTACATGAAACTTCATCTTTCTGTTAGGTATAGCTTACTTTTCTTTGTAATTATATAATAAAGACAACTTGTAGCTTTCTGAGTTGTCCTGCTTGTTTTTTATTTTTCTTGGCCTTACTTCTCTTGTCTCCTATTCATTTTCTATCTTGTCCCTACCCCTTTTTTTTTTTAGGCAGTTGAGGTTAAGTGACTTGCCCAGGGTCACACAGCTAGTAAGTGTCAAGTGTATGGTCTAAGCTGGATTTGAATTCAGGTCCTCCTGACTTCAGGGCCGGTGCTCTATCCACTGTGCCACTTAGCTGCCCCACCTGTCCCTCTCCTTTCTCTCCTTTTTACCCTGCCCACTGGGGAAACAAGGACCTTTTAACAAATGTGCATAATCAAGCAAAAGCAAATTTGTATGTTGGTAATGTATTCTTTATTCTGCATCTTGAGTTCATTGCCTCGTTCTCAGGAAGTCATTTGGAATTGTGGTTTGGCTGTTGCATTGATCAGAGTTCTCAAATCTTTCAAAGTTGTTTTTCTCTATAATGTTGCTATCATATATATTGTTCTCTAAGTCCTCTTCACTTTATTCTGCATCTGTTCAGACACATTTTTCCAGATTTCCCTGAAATGGTACTGTAAGTCATTTTTTGTGGTATAGTAATATTCCATTACGTTCCATCACAATTTGTTCAGCCATTTTCTGGTCACTTCCTTAGTTTCTAGTTCTTTGCTGCTGGAAAAAAGAGCTGCTATAAATATTTTTGTACAAAAGGGCACGAAATTATTTTTTACCATTATCAGTTCTTGCAAATTTACCTGCATTCTCTGAATTCCTCGCTTAAAACTTTACTGTATTGCTATGTTCCATTATTCATATCCTATGGCTTTTTCAGATATTCTCCAGTTGTTTGGGCACCCCCCCCTTTTTTTTTAAGCTCTTTTTGCCACAAGTACTAGTGTGAATATTTTGGTATATTTTCAGGGTGTTTTGCAGGGTAGCTTTTTTTTTTCCTGAAGAAATAGAAATATACTTGCCAGTTCCTACTAGGTCAAGGTAGGAAGATAGGCCAGAAAATAACAACAATAACAGTAAAGCAGTAATAATAGCTAGTATTTACACAGTGATTTGCAAATTACTTTACAAATATTTATTTTTATCCTCACAACCACCCTAAGAGGTAGTGCCATTATTATCTCCAGTTTAGTGGCACACTGGATAAAAGACAAGGTCTCAGAGATAGTAAGTGGCTGAGGCTGGATTTGAATTTGGGTCTCCTTGGCTCTAGGGCCAGCACCACTAGTTGCCCAGACTGGCTTCTTCTTTGTTATGGTAGGGAAAATGACTTTGTGGCTCTGTGGCTTCAGTTCATGTAGACTCTTTCCAGGTGAGTGAGAATAAATTCTGATTTCTGTGACTTGGTGTAACATTGACCTAGTTAACTTACATTTAAGAATTGTGTAAGATTTATTTCTAGCACAACCTGACAGAGTCTGCTATTCAGGTGAGAAGAATGGGTGAGTACAGGGGCAGATGACTCACAGCTTCCTATAAAAACCAGAAAGAATGAGGTATGACTATTAAGTATCACCTTTATTAGATTTCATTGCATTTAGAGCTGAAGGGATCTTAGAAGCCATCTAGGTCAAGCCCTTCACTTTATAGATGAGGAAACAGAGGCACAAAGAAATTATTTGCCAGAAATCATATGGGTAGTGTTAGAGCCAGGATTTGAACTATAATTCTCTGTGCATAGAAAGCTGACTTTTAATAACTCCCACGTCAATAATAAGCATTTATCAGTCTCCTCCTTTGTGGTGTTATTGGTGCATTTGACACTGAACATCTGTCCTCTTGTCAACTTTTCTTTCCTTTGAATATTCGTGGTACTGTTCCCTCATGATTCTCCTACCTGTCCATCCACTTCTTCTGGAGATCCATTGCTAGACCATTGTGCAGACTTCCTAACTTTGAATCTACTTGAAACTGGGTTCTTTTCTTTCTTTAAACCAGACCTCTCCCTAACCTTTTCTCACTGACCTCATCAGGACCTATCAGTTCAATTATCATCTCTATTGATGTGAATATCAGATCTTTATATCTAGGCCTGTTCTCTTTCCTGAGTCCTAGTCCTGCCTTTCTGACTACCTGTTGTATATTTTGAAATGGATGTTCTGTAGCTATCTCACACTGAAGTTTTCCAAAAGAAAAGTTATCTGTCCTCTCAAAACAAAAAACAAAAAAACCGAACAAACCCTCTTTTTCTAAATTCCCTAGTTTTTTGGGGAATACTGTAATCCTTCATTTACCCAAGTTTGCAGCAACAGAATCATCCCCAGTTCTTCTCTTAGCTCCCCTATATCTAGACAGTTGCCAGATGTGGTCTGTTCTGCCTCCTTAACATCATTCACATCACTGTGCTAAGATCACATAGCTATCCTAGTTTGGGGCTATTGTAGTAGCTTTCCAAGTGGACTGTGTGCCTCAAATAGCTCCTTTCTCCAAGCTTATTATTCACACAGTTGCCAAAGTGATATTCCTGAAGTAAATATCTGACCATCTTATAACCGTGTTCAAAATATTTCAGTGATTCTCTGTTTCCTCTTAAGATAAACTACAAACAGGGCAGGTAGGTGGCACAGTGAATAGAACACTGACCCTGAGTTCAAATCCAGTCTCAGATCAGACACTTGACACTTGCTAGCTGTGTGACCCTGGGCAAGTCACTTAACCCCAATTGCCTTGCCAAAAAAAAAAAATTAACAAAAAGATAAATTACAAACATCAAGGTTTGGTATGTAAGCCCTTCACAGGTTGACTACAGCCTACCTTTCTAGAATTGTCCTTCTCATAGTGTGCAGAGCAGATTGGATTGAGTAGATACTGAAGACAGAATTCAAGGAAGACCTGAAATCTTATCTTTCTTTCCATCCTGATTCCACAACATCATGTATACCAAATTCTGTTATTCTGTTAATTGTATGTACTTTCCTGCTCATTTACTTTTACCCATGATGTTACCTACTTACAGATCATAAATCTTAGATTTAGAACCTCAAGGGACCTTAGAAGTCATTGAATCCACTTTTACAGATAAGGAAACTGAGACCCAAGGTCACACAGGTAATAAGTATCTGAGGCTGGATTTGGACTCTGTTCTATCCACTCCACTCCACCACTTGCTGCCTCAGACTTGTTATGAAGGTTTTCTTTACATGATGGAGAAATCTGCCTCTCTGTAAGTTCCCAGTGCTCTTTTATAATGGTATTCTTAGAGAACCCCAAAGAATCAAATTGTAACATTAACAACTTTAGCTGTTAAAGTTGTTAATGAAATATCAAATAAATTCACATAAATCATCAGCATTTCTATAAACTGCCAACAAAAACCAGCAGAAGGAAATAGAGGGAGAAATTCTATTTAAAACAACTACACTTCGGAGTCTTACCTGCCAAGACAATCTTAGGAACCATATGAACACAGTTATAAAACACTTCACCCACATATAGAGATAGATCTGAATAACTGGAGAAATGTTAATTGGTAATGGATAGGCCTAGCCAATATATAATTATTAAAAAAAAAAAGACATGGTGATCCTGGACAAGTCATACAACCTCTGTTTGCCTCAGTTTCTTCAGTTGTATAACTTAGCAGCACCTACCTCATAGGATTGTTGTGAGTATCTAATGAGATAATAATTGTAAAAGCCCCTGTGTAAATGCTTATTCCCTTCCCTTCCCCATGTAGAGCTTTCCAAAAAATGCAAAGGAATAGAAGTCAAGCCCTAGGTGATCTCCTAGGAGTTCTTATTTATGGATGAAGAAGGAGGTGGAGGTAACTTAGATTTTGAAGCATAGGTTATAGAGGGGCAGGTTTTAGATGGAAAGATCATAAGGTCATAGATTTGAAGCTGGAAAGGATCTTAGAGGTCATCTAGTCCAATCTCATTTTACACATCAGGGCACTGAGGCTAAGAGCAGTTAAATGACTTGCCTAAGGTCACACAGGTAACATTTGGAAAGCTAAGATTTGAACCTAGATCCTTTGACCCTAAATCCAGTCTCTTTGCATTGTATCATATTGCCTATATGAATTCAGTTTTAGATTTGTTGAATATGAGCTAGAACTGTCTAGTTGGTGGTGAGAAAAACATGTGTGGCCATCAGGTGGATTTTTCAACCTCTGAATTACTCACATGGAACTAAAAGTTGAAGCTGTGGAAATGGGTGATATAGCCAAGGGATAGAATGTGGACAAAGTAGAACCTTGGAGGGTGAGGTTATGTTTACAGGTCATAGAAGAACAACCAGTTGAAGAGAAGCCTATGATCAGCAGTGTTGTGTGGCATCAGAGAAGGACATTGAATCTCATTCTTAGGAAGTTACTGGTGAGTTTAAGGCAGAGCCACAGGTAGAGTGGT